ATACACACGTACATACACACGTACATACATACATACATACATACATACATACATACATACAGACAGACAGACAGACAGACAGACATACATACATACATACATACATACATACATATGTACACCTATATATACACATACAGAAACACCGAAACTTCGTTCTTAACCAAATGCCTGAGCGTTCAATTCTAGCACGAATGACACGACGACAAGCCGCTCCCACTCGTCGCGCACTGGACCCGAAGTCCCTCCGCCGCCCGCGCTGCCCAGCCGCACCAGCACGATCACGGCGGGAAGGCGTTTCCGAGGCAAGCGTGCTGCCCAGCCACACCACCAGCGCGCCGAGGAGGAGCGGCGCACGCTCAGCTCGGCAACAGTGGCCATAAACTGCGCAGCCAAAATGTGTCTATATCCACTGCCGCGGGGTCCTGTTCTGGAGACACGCGGAGATCCCAGGGCACAACTCCGAAGCGGTGGATGTGGACATATGCTGGCGGTGGTGGATGAGAGTCGCAGTCTGGTTGGCCCGACGCCCACGGGATCCCCCGAGCATGCCCCGCAGAAAATCCGCCGACCCATTGCCCTCAACCGCCGGTTGCCTCACGGAGAGGCCGCACAAATTGGGGGCCGGTGGGGCCCGGGACAGGCAGGAGGGCGGAAGGCGAAACACAGGCCGACGGCGTAGAGAAACTACTTACTGCACGTGGCCTCACACCCCGTGTGGCGGGCAAAAAGCTGTGGACTGGATTCGGGGGGAGAGGAGGCAGGTGCTGACAAGGGTTGCCAACATCCACATCAGCGTCGCGCGGCCAGGGAGAGTGTATGGCGGCGCGGTGCGGCAAAGGGCAGCGCAGGAGTGCCCACATACCGCTGCTTAACTTCCCCAGCGGCCGTCCCCTCGTAGAGAAAAGGGGAGGGGAGTCTGGACCCTGTGTTTTGGACATGGCGCGCCACCAACCCAGAGAAAAAGGGAACAAGAGAAAGATGCAGGCATCAGTGGGCCAGGTAGGGAACCAGTGCAAAACCACCTTGAAAAGACAACTCTCACATGATACGCATCACCAGCTATGGGCTGGGCAGGTCAAGGGACGGGGTACGGATACGCTGACGCAACTGACACCAGTACAAAGAACCATGCTTCAGCTCGGAGAGTTGCAGCTTCACAGGCTGCTTGTATCTGCCAGCCACCAGCGGGGGACGTGGGGAAACCACGACCCACGGGGCGAACGCCCACCCTCGACAGCCAAACCAGGGTGGGGAGGGGTGGGGGGGCGCAAGCCTCGAGGCGCGGGAGGAGGAGGAGGAGGAGGAGGGGGGAGGAGAAAGAAGAGGAAGGGGGGTGAGAAGCTCCTCCCTGCTGCCACTGCTGCTGGCGAGGCAGGGCGCTGCTGCTGCTGGCCCCACTCGCGCGCTCGCCTCTGCTGCCGCGGCGGCCCGCGCGGTCGACGCGACCTGGTCCAGGAAGGAGCACCATTTCTCCTGGTGCGCGCCATGGTGAGCAAACAACGGCGTCCTCCTCCTCCTCCTCCTCATCATCATCCTCATCATCATCCTCATCATCATCATCATCATCATCACCACCACCACCACCACCACCACCACCACCACCACCATCATCATCATCATCATCATCATCATCATCATCATCATCATCCCCATCCTCCCCATCCTCCCCCCTCCTCATGCTCCATCCTTCTCCTCCTGCTCCAACCTTCTCCTGCGTCCTCCTCGTGGTCCTTCCTCCTCCT